TTTTTCTCTTAATATCTGATTGGGGCAATTCAAATTGGATTGTAAAGATATGTCAAAAGGTTGAAAATTTGATTTGTGAAATTTTTTTTGTCATATTTCACTCATTTTTTACTTCTAATTGCATCCATTCAACTCCTAGCATTCTTGAATCTTCATCGTTAGGTCCGACACAAACTTTGAATTTTGCACATTTTCTCCAATTTTCACTTTTTCTTTCAATTCCACTTCCATTCATCGAGTTTCACATAATAACATATATAATAAATTAGGCTGTAATTTTATTAAAAAACACTGCGAAATGTCCATATTTTAGAGCTAAAATAAGTGTAAAATATACGTACCAACAAAATTGGATTATACAATGAAGAAGATTTTAACTTATTTTCCTTCATTAAGTGTTTGGTGTCATCCAAGCAAACATGCCAAAAGAGTGTAAATTTCTATTAACATGTATTTGAATTCTTATGTACACCTACTTTGAGAAATTTAAAAGTTCAAAAACACGCATTAAAATGAAATTGTCATCCAAGCAAACATGCCAAAATGAAATTCTTATGTACAACTACTTTGAATATTTTACTTTTTTTTTCCCCTTATTTTTAACCAAAAAGAATACAATGATCTTCCTACATTCACACGATTTTTCTCGTCTTCCCTATAGATATGTATCATCAGTTTATAATATTGTTCTAACATAGATGTAAACGTCAACAAGTTCTTTGTGGTCGCAAATGTCATTGTAACCGCCTATGTGATCCTTTCACTCGCACTATCCATCTTTCACATTGTAAAAATGGTGCACGAATAACAAGGATAGTATTGATCATCTTTGATAAGGTAATTATCCGGACTCAGAAACATAAATAAACAAGATATTGTTACAAGACAATAAAAGCTATGCATAATTGTTGAACACGTCACCAAAATGAATGTAGTAATGGGGAGGAATGAACATTAGAATAAACAAGATTTTAGCTTCTTGTCTAATACTTTCTAATCCTCCATACCAATATCACTTAAAAGTTCATAGATCATGTAAGTTTTGAGGTTGTCTCCAAGCAGGGGCGGAGCCAGGAATGATAGATACGGTAGACTAAAATTTTTAAAATTTAATGT